TGCGAGGACCCTTTAGAAAGCTGGGCACATTGGCACATACCTGTAATCCCAGAGCTGGGAGTTGGGGGCAGAAATAGGATTCCTAGATCTTGTTGGCCAGCCAGTCTAACCTAAGTGGTAAGTTCTAGTTTTGGTAAGAGATGTTGCGCTCAGTGTCAACTACGGGTGTCTTCGCACATAATACACACATGCACACACACTTGCATGCAAACACATACACACATATACCACACATAGCACACAAATCCAGGTTACCAAGTGAAAAGCCAGAAAGACTGCATTCTCTAAATCCAACCACGTTCTCTTGGGGAGGAGACATCTCTAGAGAGATGGCAAGCTGTGAGTCAACCAGGACTGGGGCTACCGGATGCCTTTCCCTTTAGACATAATGGTTTGCCCCAGGGCTGAGACAGCACCAGGAGTTTTACAGAGAATTCACACTTGCAAGAGCTGTCCACCAGAACCTAGGATACCCTCAGTTACCCTGCCAAGGACCAGAGAGGGAATGACCAATAGCTAGACAGAAGAGGGATACACAGTGCTGGTGAGCAAAGAAAATACATAAGGAGAGATTTAGGTTCGAGAAGAATGAGAGAAGAAGGACAAGAGAACATGGAAGAAAGAGGGAGACAGCTGGAGCCAGTTAGGCAGCCACCATGAAAAGCAGTGAAAGTAAGATATACAGAAGGAAGAAAGGAAAAAGCCCGGAAGCAAAAGGTAAGTAAAGAGAAACAGGATAATTGAAGTTAAAAGAACTAGCCAGAAATGAGCCTCAGCTGGGCTGAGCATTCAAAACTAATAATAAATTTCAGTGTCATGATTTGGGGACTGGTTGGTAACCCAAAAGAGAAAGCCTGGTGCAGTTTTTTATTCTAAATTCTAGCAGTTTTTCTTTCCTAGAATGACTTTTATTGCACTGCTCTGGTTGGTGAACCCTGAGGTATGCATGACTTAGAAAGGGGCAGGGCTTCTGAAACTCAGAGGCAATGAGAACAATCAGTTCAAATGGCGTCACTCCCCAGCTTAACACTGTCACTCTTGTGCCCCTCCACAGTCCTCCACAGCCAGCAGGGCACACAGACAGTAGTCACTAGTGTCTCCTCACTGGCCTTCTATATTTTTAATTTTTTAAAGACTGTCAAGCTGCCCAAACCATATGGTTCGCGGATGCCAGCTCTGATATGTTTGCCGCATAACAAGTCATCCCAGAACTCAGTGGCTCCAAACAACAGTTACTTCATTTTGCTGGTAAGTCTGCAGCTTGGGCTAGGCAAAGTGGAGATGTCGTGCCTCTCCTCTGGGGCAATGGCGTCTTTCTCAGAGGACAGCAGAATATTTGCTGGGCTACAAGCCAGCCAGGGCTGAGGCAGGGGGCCACATTCTCTCACCCTGTGAGCCTGCACATTTGGCCTGCATTTCCTGAGTAGCTGTTTGTAGTCACAGAAATAGTGCAACCTCCATAATCCTCACAGATGTCTTGCTATGCATCCCAGCTCTGAGTTTAAACCAACTTTCTGTTGGTTTGTGTTTGTATGTGTTTGAGACAAGATCATACTATGTAGCCTAGGTAGGCCTTGGTCTTTCAATTCTCCTGCTTCAGTCTCCTGAGTGCTGGGATTACAGGTATGTGCCAACATGGTTGGCTTAAACCTAGCCCTTTTGTATAGTACCATAACTATAGAATCCATTTGGTGTTTATTTGAAAGCTAATACGTTTGTGGACTTGCTACAACTGCCATAGTTAACCAACATAGTCCCATTCTGTTTCACCCATGACGTGGTTGCTCAGACAAGTTTTCCTTGGTGGCAGCGGTGGGCATTTTTGCCCCTATAAATGGGTGGTAGACACTGGAACTGGATCAGTCTTCAAGAAGGCTGTTGGGGGTTTTGCTTCTCTAGGGTCCAGATGTTAAGCTCAGTGTGAATACATCTCATTGTGCCCTTCCTTCCTTTGTGAGAGAAGCCAGTTAGGCACAGCTGCAACTCCAGAAAGCCCACACAGACTAAGCAAGCCACTTCCCCCAAGTCGGCCTCCACCAGAAGTACTCTGGGCTTAGTGCCTGAATGCTGTGGTCAGGGTTACCATTTGCTTCCTGAACTTCAGTATTATAGTTAACAAAAGCATACCACAACCATTAGTCATCAGTATATTTTTATCCAGAAATGGTTGGTTTTATTCATTTTCCCATTCTTCCCTTTGTTCTGCCATCTGGCAGCTTCTTTTAATTGCGAGAGTCTTTTTGTTCTGCCACCATTATTTGCTGTTGCCCTCTGTCTGCATGACAATTCTGAATTGTCATTAGAAAGTGACTCTTGGGAGGGTCTGGGCTCCAGCAGGACACAATGCTGATCTCACGGGTGTCTAGGATTGTCACTTACTGAGGGGACTAGCTGTAGCAGGTCTGAATTCAGGACGAGCCTTTCTATACAGCTTCTCATGCTGGTTTGGGTCATCTTGACATGAAGTGGTGATAGGCATTTTTAAGAGAATTCCTGTCTCTCTAGTTTGGGGGCAGGGAAGCAGCATGGACTGTGGACAGCCATATCTGGAGCCACATCCAGCCTGCCAGCTCCCGCCTCCTGGCAACACCTGAACTGAGAGAGCAGGCAGAGACTGTCCTCTGGTGGGAGAGGTCCTGCACCATCCCCAGGGGCCGTTCCAGGGCACAGGAATCCCAGGACTTCCTGAGGGATTCTGAATTGTTCATCCCTGCTCATTTTCTCAAAACTTGACTCATGCCAAGCCTTTGCAAGCTGTGAGTCAACCAGGACTGGGGCCACGGGATGCCTTTCCCTTTAGGCATAATGACTTGCCCCAGGGCTGAGACAGCACCAGGATATTTACAGCGAATTCACACTTGCAAGAGCTGTCCACCAGAACCTAGGATACCCTCAGTTACCCTGCCAAGGACCAGAGAGGGACTTCCCTGCCAGAGCATGGGAAGAGTGCAGTTTTCATTTCATACAGTTTTATAATTTTGTTGTTTTTTTGGGACAAGGTTGCGCTAAGTATTCCTGACTGTCCTGGAACTTCCTATGTAGACTAAGTTGGCCTAGAACTCACAGAAGTCTGCCTCTCAAGTGACTCCATGGCACATGTGCCCACATACACAGGCACACTCGCGTGTACACACACACACACACACACACACATACTCACCCTCATGGTTTTGGTTATTTTCTTTTTTTTTGCTTTTGGTCTTTCAAGACAGGGTTTCTCTGTATAACACTCATGGTTTTAAAGGAGTTAAATAGCAACATTAAAGAAACAAATTTCATCCCTCAAGATAAAAAGCTAGGCAGGAAAGGAAAGGAAAAACAGCAAGCGATTTCCGTTCCTTTGAGGCTGGGATGATGAGATGAAACTTCTGGGTTGACAACTTAGGTTTCTTGTCTTTCTTGAGGGCAGGGTATACATCCAAAGAGACTGTGTAAATGCCCTGGGAATTTTTACAGCTTGGGACTGGAATCGGTTCTGGTCTGTCCTAACTGTAGCTAGAATATTGGAGGTGTGAACAAGGACAGGGTCAGACCTGCGTCACACAGAACACACCTCTTCCATGTCTTCACCTAAGGCTGAGATGAATTACCGGTACTCAATGGAAGTATGACCAGCCCCCATTATACACGAAGCAGCAGCTCACTCAGAAAGATCCTAAAGTCAAAGCCAGTCCTATCAGGATGATAGTCGCTGCCCACTCCAAAACTAAGATAGTCTTACCTGGAATAAATAGGGTTTTACTTGTTTAATGGTTAAGGTCAGACTCAGTCCTTAATTGTACTTTAATGAAGGATTTGCTTTCAAGAAATGTGTTTGTTTTTCAAATCTGTTATTGTAGGAAATAATGAGTATTCTGACTAGTGGGAAAAAAATAGTATGTTTGGTTTGTACATAGATGTGGTCTTTCTCACAGCCTTCCTGCACAATGGATTTTAACAGGATCAGCAGGGAATGGCTCTGGGCTTCCACAAGTGGCATATGTTTCAGGATATGCCTTTAAGCATTTCCCTTCAGTGTATCTGAAACACCTCTACATCTCTTGTTTCTTGAATGGTTTTACAATTCTTTGAATATATGGACAAAGGGGAAAATTAATCCCAAGTGTTTTGTTACTTATCAGGTGGTATATTAAATATTTTCTACTGTTGGGGAAAAAAAGAGGCAAATTTCAGAAGACTATCCATTCTGTACTCAAAAAATAATAAAATAATAAACAAAAATAAAAGAAACAATTGCTCTGTATAGAAGTAAAATACTTTTTAAATGGCTTTCAAACATTGGTTGCAAAGAAAGTATCAGTGGCCTATAAATGTCGTCGCTGTGCTACCCATGGCTTCTCAGCTTCTGGTGCGCAGCAGTTACTGTGCACAGTCCTTGCTCTGTGCTTCTGTAGGCCCTGAGAAAACACCTGCTGTGATGAGCTGAGCTGAGTTTGTGACTGCAGCAGACTGGCCAGGCAGCTCCCAGCCTCTCTGCACGAGGGAGACCTATTGGGTGCAAACTCAGTTGAGCACAGCTAAATCGATTGGCTAAGGTCTCTGGAATCCCTGGATGAGACGCTTTGGAGGGGATAATTCTATTACTCATGCTTTCCTAGCCTGGCCTTGCTCAACATTTTCCAGCCCCCCCTCCCCACTTCCACAGCACCACATTCCTGCAGAGATTCCAAGCCTGCCCACACTGCCACCACGACAGCAAGGCACACATGAGAAAGCCTCGCCTCCCTGCTGTTTGGAAGGGCTGTTTCTAGGGCTACATTTCTGCCACTGCTGGTAGCTCTGACTTTGCCACCGCATCCGAACAGAGTCCCTGTTGACCAGAATAGGATGATTCACCATAGCAGCTCTTTTCACAGCTTTTGCTTCGAGAGTCTGTTTTTTTTTTTTTTTTTTACCACAGAAAGTGTTCGAGGCTTGGAGAATATGGACACTGTGTCACTTGATCAACAATGAAAGAACAAAATGGAAAGAAAAAAAAAAAAACAACCAGGGCTCTGTGGGATTGTAAAGTAGCAACTTATGTCTATTTGTTATTTTAGCATTTGAAACTAATTGCATAGTAGGAAGAAGGTGTGGTTTGAAAAAGAGTGTGAATAGAAAATACCACAAAATGTCTGTCATTATGTAGAAAGGAAGAAGGAACTGCCTCTCCCATCTTCTTACAGTTCCCAGGGTGGGACTGAGGGTGGGACCCTGTGCCACGGAAGTCCCTTTCCACCCTCTGGGTAGAGACGGTCCTGTGGAAAGGCACGCTGGCACAGCCTGCTCCACTGACCACACACTTTTTCTAGTCCCTCTCATACAACCGCCCATAGAGAGCTGCTGTCACCAAACCAGAGGACAGTCCACTCTTCCTCAAGAAATAGTGGTCATTTTCCCACCCGAGCTGGTCAGGGGTATCCAGAGTCATCCCTGAGGTGAGAAACAGAGGAAAGATATAGGAAGTGCTGAAGTTCCCCCACAGGTGAAAGTCAAACAGGCCTTGTGCCTCTGAGATCTCCTGCCCACAAGTGTCAAAGCCGAGGCCCCCACACTTGACCAGGGCACAGACTTGAATGTAGTAAGTGCCATGTACCGTGTGGAGCCCATCAAAGACACCCAGGGCGTACAGCTCTTCGGACAGGGTGGGCCTCTCGTAGAGTAAGTGACAGCAGAGACCGTTGGAGCAGGCCTGGACATAGCCTTCCTTTCCCCAGACAGGCACCAGGGTGAAGTTGTCGTACATCATCTCTGAGTGGAAAGTAGGTGGTGCGTTCATGTCCCACTTGGCAGCCTCCTCACAGTGCACTTCCTGGGCATCCTTCTCACAGGACAGGTCACCGGCCAGGATTTTTAAGAACTTACTATGGGATGGGTCCGTTTCACTAGTTGCATTCTCTATCCCAACAAGTCCCAGGGGGTTTGTGGCTACCTGGGCAATTATAAGGTGGCCTTCGGGGTTGTCCATGTCATGGTACCAAAAGGACTTCAGAGGGGTGTGGATGCCACTGCCAGTCATCCCCAGAGTCGGGTGGTGGATGTTAGCTGCCAGAACACTGACACCAAAGGCAGTGGCGAATGCTTTCTGGATTTCAATGGCTGCCAAGAGCGGCAGCTGGTTCATCCAGGCCGTGGGGTACACAATGTGCTTCACCTTGGAGTCTCTGAGGAGTTGGATGGCAGGCTCAAAGAACAGGATGTCAAAGCAAGTGAACATGCCAAACTGGCCCGCAAAGGGGGTATCAAAGGTGACGAGGTCCGCATGAGCAGGGGTATCAAAAGCCGCCTCAAAGTACAGATTGTGCTTACGGTAGCGAGCAACAAGGGTTCCATTGTGGCTGAACACCACATCTGTATTAAACTGGTATCTCCCGTCATCTGGGCACCTGGGGTCACTGCGAAGGCAAGGCTGTTTTGTTCCAAGATTGGCCACCAAGAACATCTGTCCCTTGATGGCCATACAACTCAGGCGCTGGAGGACCTGGAGTGGACAATAAATAAAATAAGTTTAAATACTGCCTTTTGGATCATATTTCGGTAAAGAAGTTCCTGTATTGTGTCTGTCATATATAAACAGCTATCGTAAGTCAGTGGGCAAACACTGTGAGAGTGTACAAAGGCTATGAACATGTGATTCACAGGACAAACACAGAGGCACCTGCAACTAAACTCAGTAGTGACGACAAAATGTAAATTCAGGGAGCCAAGTCTTCACCTTTGTTAGAATGGCAAAAGCTCAAGGAAGTATTGCATCTAATGTTGACCCAAGGGCAGAAAAACAGACTCACAAGTTAGTACTGGAGGTATGTAAAATGAGACAAACATCTTTTAACCCCGAAATTTAGTATTTGAAGAATACATTAGATATTAATTAAACTAATTAAATTCCATTTCCAAGAGTTTTGCAGGAAAACTTGAACATGCTTACAAAAATATACATACAGAATGCTCACTGAAGCAGTGCTTAAAATAGCAAGCGGGAAAAGAAGGGAGCTTGTCTCCTGCTCGGCCGGAGGTCAGTGGAGGGGGAGAAAAGAAAGCACAGCACACCACTGTTGGAAGGAAGCTTCCAGAAAAGCCAGTGGATGAGGGCCAGGCAGTGCTGAGCTGAACTTTTAGAGTGTTTTGTTTTGTTTGAACTTGACTTGCTTAATATGTTTCAGTTTGCGTGTGTTTCTTGTGTAATTCACCAGTGAAAGCCCGGCAGCTAAGTAATGTCCTAGATTAGTTAACACAGGGCCTGGGGCGTTTGGGTTCTGTGGTTTGGAGCCCAGACCTCCTTCAGACCTCAGGCAGCATGCTGTGGCTTTCGGCCAAGGACCTGGCTCTGCTCACTGGTCCTCTCACCTACCTCCGTGTCATTGAACCGAAAGGGCTCCAGACAGGGGTTCCACCTGACCAGCCTGGGAGATGGCATGAAGTCCAAGAATGGGTAAATGGATGTTCTTGTGAAGTTGAACCCATGGATGCCATCTTCTGGGAACACTATAATCTGCACACCCTGTAAGTAGAAAGACAGGAGAGTGTCGGGAGGTAAGGAAGCACCACGTTCTTGGCTGCCAAACATCAACAAGCTGAAGGACAGGGGCTGGGAAGAAGATGGCTCAACTCAGCTCAGTGGGAAGGCTTGCTCTCTGGCCATCAGTTGACCGCCCAAGTGCTGGACGTGGCCGCACGTGTGTCCGTGTCCTGGAAGAAGAACCACCAGCATGTGGGGATGGAGGGAGGGGGGAGCGGACGCCTCTAGTCCAGCTGTTCTTGCCCATCCTCTCATGCCTAAGTCAGCTGGGGAACTTCTGGGAAAAACTCTGATATGGAGGCCCATCCATAAAACAACCGACTGGAATGTGGGTGAGCCCTGGCTGCAGTGTTTGTTTAAAAGATTCCACTGTGTAGTCACAGTTGGACTCTGGGGGCCATGGATGAGCAGCAAGTGCGGTACACAAAGCAGCTCCCACCCGGGACTTAGGAGTCCCTTTAGGGGCTCTTGCTGACTGCGGGCCTCTCCCCACACTGTGGCATCTACAGCAACTTAGGGAGGAGAAACAAACAGGGCAGCCCTCTGCCCTCGTCTCACCTCGCTCTCCGGGGGCTCTCCAGCTCTGTGGATGAAAATGCCAGGCCTAGATGTCGGCCCAGTGCAGAGGATGGAGGCGGCAGGTAGTGAAGGCGGCCACACACAATAGCAGGCGCGCCAGCACTTAGTTCCTCAGGGAACTGCAATTTTATTTAGGTTTGTTTACCCACTTCTGGTTCTAAAAGCTCCAAAGTTTAACCATATAAAAATCTGCAAGACCAAAAAACTCAAATCCATCAATGCATATCTCTAACACAAAGATGCCTGTTGTCATTCTGCTAGTCCTTTTCCCTGTGTGTCTGGGTGCTGATGAGATGGTATATTGTGTAGCATTTGTCTTTCTCATAGAGAACAAGCAGAAATGCCAACTGCTTGTTACATAAGATACCACCATTTCTCCTCCATTGATCATCGGAATGCAACCTCTGCAGTAAAACCAAAGCTGAGGCAGCTGTCGGTGTGTGGTCTGTGTGCGGCGCTCACTACCCTGACTGAAAGGTGTTCATGTCTTTAGTTGGCTTCCACTTAGAATACAGTGAATTTCACATGTGAAACCGCTGGGTTAAAGAGCGGGAAAAGTTTTACATTCTTTTTTTTTTTTTTTTTTCGTTTTTCAAGACAGGGTTTTGAAAAACCTGGCTATCCTGAAACTCACTCTGTAGGCCAGGCTAGCCTCAAATTCACAGAGATCATCCTGCCTCTGCTTCCCAGTGCAACCACCATTGCCCAGCAAGTTTTACATTCTTAATACGCATCGACAAACTGGTGTGGCTCCCCATAGCACTGAGTGACAATGACCTTCCCATTGTACAATGAGCCTTGACGGTGCAAACAATCTGATCACAAACTCAAGAAGGAGATGGCCTGTCTTCCCAGATTAGCAGGCTTGCTACAGAGTTAGGAGATTTGACTGTGTACAGAATATGCCACCGCTGCCTTTTGTTAATTAAAAGATTACTCCAAGGAGATGGAGGTTGGAGGCTCCTGAGCTCAAGGCCAGCCTAGCTAACAGTTGAGCCTGGTTCATCAAAATCAAAATGGAACAAGTCCTCACACTGAAGACTGCATCTGTGTCTTGAGGAACAGTTGCTTATTTTAGCTAGCAACAAATTCTCCCAGTCACTGCTGGGTCACTGGCAACATTCCCTTTTTCAAATTCCTACCATGATCAAATGAGTTAAATAAAAACTGTTCATTATGTATTTGCATGAGCCCCTTTGGGGGGGCGGGGGGTGAGTCCGAGACAGGGTGTTTCTGTGTAGCCTTGGCTGTCCTGGAACTCACTGTAGACCAGGCTGGCCTCGAACTCACAGAGATCCGCCTGCCTTTGCCTTGGCCGGGATTAAAGGCGTGCACCACCACCACTTGGCTATGAGTCACTCTTTTAACGTTTTGAAAATTATACTTGGAGAAAGGTTTTCCTTTATTCAGAAAAAAACCAAAACAACAAAACAAAAACACTTGAAGGATGTCTTAGGGAGCCTGCCATTCAGTTATGTCTACACATTGACTACAGTGCTTTGGCTGGGTCCTGACAGGCCTAATGAGGTCAAGAACTCCCGAGGAATGAAGGTCACCAACCCTTGGGACTGCACAGTCTAATCTTTAAGGCTGACTTGTTGTCCCTCTATGCCAGGGGTCCTGTGGGGAACTCCTGTCTTCAGTGCATCTGATGTAAGACGTGGATGCCGCAAACACAGCGTAGGAGCGAAGGCGCTGGACAACACAAAGCAGCCCTGTGAGCCCCTGGCACGACTCACATAACCATGTTTGGGAGTTCTAAGCTGGAGATTCGGCAGTCACCATGGACAGATGCAGAAGCCAGGTGAGCCTGCAGGTGCTGAGGAGGCACCGTGCCATTCAGTGCCTCCACCACAGGGCCTGCCCTTGTGTGGGTCAGGGCTGGTAGGAGGCCTGAAAGTACAGCTGGGATTTATTTTACACTGACTTCAGCAGAGACATAAAAGGGATAAGTATCAAATGCATGAACGCTATGTAGATGTCAGTAAAGATCCCTAAATAGCCCAACAGGCCGGAGCAGGGAACAGCTCGGATGGGAAGGCTTGCTCAGGTTGTCAGCTGACTGCCCGAGTGCAGGGGGGCCGCACACAGCCTCGTGTGTAAAGGAACAGGAGGTCCTAAGTGCCCTGGAAACACAGTGTGATGTGACTGCCAGGAGTCCACTGGGGACATCACCTGGAGCAAGAAGGCCTGCCACCCACCCTGCCACACAGCAGTGCATTCGTGCCCACAGTTCTAAGAGAAGTCTGAAGAGGACTGGAAGCTCAGGCTTTTCCTGGGGGACTGGGGCAGGTGTGCAGACGATGGAATTCAGCAGCTTTTCAAGGTCAGATTGTGGTCAAAACCTTCCCAGAAGTAGCACAGTGGAACACCTGGGAAATAGTGCGTCCTGAGCTACTGAGGGGGGCCGAGAAGCCAGGTGCCAGGTGGGGACAAGAGAGGAGTGCCATCCACGAGGAATGCTGGACCATAGACACTAACTAGCCCAGGATTTTAAAGTGCACCAAGAAGTGGTAGCTGGGCTGGAGAGATGGCTCAGTGGTTAGGAGCATTGCCTGCTCTTCCAAAGGTCCTGAGTTCAATTCCCAGCAACCACATGGTGGCTCACAACCATCTGGAAAGAGGTCTGGTGCCCTCTTCTGGCCTGCAGACATGCACACAGACAGAATATTGTATACATAATAAATAAATAAATAAATAAATATTAAAAAAAAAAAAAAAAAAAAAAAAAAAAAAGAAGTGGTAGCTATGTCCTTTCGGGTCACGAGGTGTGGGCATGGGGTGGTGGGTCTGTTGGCATGGTCAGGTCCACACCAGCAGCAAAGGCAGGACATTGGCTCATCGTCATTAGCACAGCAGGCCTTCCTCAAGCAGCTGGGCTTGGCGGCCCCACCAACAGGGAAAAAACTCAGATCCTCTTGGTTCCAGACTTCCCCACCCCACAGCTTCTTCTGAGAGCAGCACTTCCTCCCCTGTCCCAGGGGAGCCTATCCTCCACCCCCACCCTTCCTGGCTGGCAGAAGAGGGAAGACAGCCAAGAGGAAGTCCTTACAAGGGTGTGAGCCTGGGGTCCTATTCCGTCTGGACTAAGGGCTCCCCATCTGCACGAAGTGCACCACAGACAGTGGGCAGACAGCCAGCGGCAGTTCTGTGGGCACTTACAAGTTCCTGTAAGCTTTGAACGCCTTTCTGAGCATGGAGTTCACTGTGCTCAATGGTTTTCAAGTGGGTTTTTTTTTTCTGTTGTTGTTGTTTGTTTCTGAATATCATTAATCCCCCGGGGATGTGCTGTGCACACTCCCACAGCCCAGACTGCACCCATTCTGGAACAGTCGGCTAGGGCACCAGACCCAAACTCCAGCTCTTGTTTACTTCACCGTCAAATCCCAGGCAAAGCCACCCAAGACCTAGGCAGGGGCTTCTTCAGCTTGGGGAAAACACTCCTTGGAGATGATGACCTTGCTTAGCTTGCTGGTCCTGACTTTGGAGGTCAGGAGTGGGGCCCGATTTAATAAGCTGCCATGTGCGGTTGGTTGGGCCGCTGACTAACTTCTGAGAAGCAAGATGCCAGTCAGCTGACCTATCAACTCAGACCAGAAAGCTGACGCATTTCTCAGGGGGGCCTTGAGAGGCTGCGGTTTCTCCTTGCTCAGAGCAGCTGGCTCTGCTAAGGACAAAAAGGGCTCTTGCCTTCTGGGCTGCAGCCATCACTTGCTGTTCATAGATGTCGAGGTTCTGCTTCATGAGCTCCAGGGCCTCTTGGCGGCTGGTGAGCTCCAGAGGGTTTGGGCTCAGGACCGACCGGTGCTCATACACTGCAGCAATGTAGTGCTTGGCCTCGCGGTGCTCCAGGGAGCCTGAGCCGAGGCCCAGCGCAAGCGCACAACAGCAGAGGAGGAAGACAGCAGGCGTGGTACGGGCTCCAGACATAATGCAGACCATAAATCTGGAACGAACCGGCAAGGGGAGAAGAACTGAATAAGGAGGGCTGCCAAGGACTGAACTTTCGCAGATGTGATTTATTAATCCTGGCAATTACACTCGCCCGCAGCGATGCTGCGGCTCAAAGAGTTTGTTTCATGTCCCTAATAAAAGCCATGTTTTTCTCTCCAAACACGTAGAGCTGCATTTCAAATGGCTCGCTGTGTTAATAGACTGGTTTCAGAACATTTGCAAAACAGACTCCGTGTTTGCCTCTGTTTTCTTACGCAGCATGCAGGAATCCTGCAATGCGCCACTGCCTTGCAAGCCAGGCGCCTACACTGTGCGCTGCAGGAACTGTGCGGAATTTTTGACACAATTTCTGTGATATATTTGACGCTCTGTCGGAGCCTTCCTACTCAGTGCTACAAGTCAGCCCTCTAGGACAGCTGTAAAGGTCATGAGGCTCCTGAAGGCAGAGCAGCTTCCTAGCTGACATTCTTCAGTCTATTTGGGGGCCATCAGGAGTCCTAGCATTTGCTGTATCACCCACAGGGCAGCCATACCCAAGTTTCCCAGTCAGAGCCCTGCAAGGCTTTCTGCTCGAACCTGGGTGAGTCTTGCCAGCCACTGCTTTCTACACCTTTGTCTATGCTACTCCAAATCACTTGCTAAAACACACATCTGTTTGGGGTAGTGGTGACGCAGGCTGTTAATCCCAGCACGTGGGAGGTAGAGGCAAGTGGATCTCTGTGAGTTCAAGGCCAGCCTGGTCTACAAGAGCTAGTTCCAGGATAGGTTTAAAAAAAAATGGAAATAAAAATCCTTCTTACAGTGATAACATGGAATTTTTCCAGAAAATAAATTGGAATTTTTTTGTATGTGAGTAGACTCTACTTACCATAGACAAAAGTGAATGACACTTCTGTATCCTCCCTTGTCCTGTCCCTGACATAGAAATAGTTATTCTCCATAATTGCATGTGTTACTAAGTGTTTTTCAGTGACTGGCCCAATTGTGCCTTGAAAAAAACCCCCTGGTTTCCTAGCTAAGCCCCTCCCTTGGAGGTGTACCACAGTCAAGCGGCTGCCCTGTGGAGACAGACAGGGGCTGACAACCACCCAAGAAGAATTCTGGTTCAAAGCCAACGTAACAACGACAAATCAAGGAATCCCACCGCTGTTCTTTAAAATGGCATCCCATCCAAAAAAATGACATCCAAGCCTCAACTCGGGATGCGTATGTTTATATCCCAAACAAACCGCCTGGGCTGCTATTAGTCTTCTTTTTATTATTTGGCTAAAAGTTCCAGAAACAAGCCATATTTATTACAGCCAAGACTAGACATAGGGATCCTCATTCAGAACCCTTCGACATCAAACTGTCCTCAGGGAGCTGCCTTCTTCCTCCCACCCCCATCCCATCTGCAACTGCCATTCGTTTCACCGGGGAATAAATGGACCATACAAAGCCCAGGGTTTGCTGCCACTCATCTGGACACTGTAAGCAATGTTGTAGGGCAAGAACAAGGGCCTTTGAGTGAGCAGTCACGAGTTTTGGAGTGGACACAAAGGAGTAATTGATAAGCTTTCTTATTGGAACTTTGTCTGCAAAGACACCAAGGAATAATTTTACATGCTTCAAAAAAATCTACTTTGCATTCCTCTTTGAAAGGACAGTAATGGGGCAGCCTGGGCGAGGTCACAGTAATAGTGACAATACTTTTAAAGCCCAAGTTGATGGCCCCTTGAGGAGGTGTGGAAACTGGCTGAGGTCGAGGGACACATAAGGCAGGCCTTGCTGGTGGCAAGTCAGGGACTCCCAGGCTAGGAGGGGCCTTGACAGTTTCTGTGTGCAGATATGGGCACACAGGGAAGGGACGGAACTCACAAATGGCGGCCTAGGGCTCTGCCACTGAGCCTCACCCAGGCCCTGAGATACAGATATCTAACTGCAATCCAAGGAAATAACAAGGAAACTGCAGGACCAGCAAAATACCACATTCCTTTCTATTTTCAGAAAGTGAAATTTGTGTTCTTTGTAGGAGTACAATAGGAAAGTCCCAAGTTGCAATCGTGTGTGTGTGTGTGTGTGTGTGTGTGTGTGAGAGAGAGAGAACAAAGGTAGATCGATAATTAGAGGCTATGCACAGTTAACCAGGTATTCACGCTTCAAAGGCTCAGGCTTAACGAGGTAGGAGAGAATGACTAATTACAATAAAAATAGCTGCAAGAGTTTGCCCTTCCCCAATGGCAGCGAAGCGGGAGACATTCTCACCAATGCTGTGAAGCTGGCTTCCTCTCCGCACTTGGCATCACACAGTCTCAGGAAAAACATAAGGAGGCTGAGCAAGGACGCCGAAGGGCTCAGCAGCAGCAGAAGGGTGCTCAGTTTTAAAGTGACAGGGTCGGAAACTAGGGAGGCAGCTCAGCTGTCAGAGTGCTCGTCTGATATGCACAAAGCCCTGGCTTTGATCCTAGCGCTGCACAAACCAGCCATTGTGGAGTGTATCCCTAGAATCCCAACACCCAAGAGGTGCACGCAGAAGAACCATTAGTGCAAGGTCCTGGATCAGGGGAGATGGCTGGGGAGTAAAGTGGCTCTAAATTCAGACCCCAGCATCCACATAAAAGCTGGCATGAGGGCACACCAGTTACCTCAGAACCGGGCACGGGGGCACACCTGTAACCCCAGCGCCGGGCACGGGGGCGCACCTGTAACCCCAGCACTGCAAGGGATGGACATAGGTTGATCTATATGTCAGGCTAGCCACTGGACCCTGAGTCAATGAGAAGCTCTGTCTCAAAAAAGAAAAAAACATAGTAAAGAATGCTAGAGGAAGTCTGCTGATGCTGGCCTCCGCCATGGGCACACGCATCACATATACCACACACTGCAAAACAAAAAGAAAAGACGAGGTCATCCTTACCTTGAAACAGAATTCAAGGGCAGCTTGTGTTAAGGAGGGGGCAGGGAGGAAGGGATGTTCTGGAGTGGCCAGCACTTCTAGATACATGTAGATGAGGCAGTTGCTAGGTACTGACTCATGATGTACAGATACTGGGATGCAGGGCTTCCTGGAACAGGGGCTCTGGAGCCAAGGAGTTTTTGGAAACCCAACCAGTGACCCATCTTTGGAGATGGCCAGGACCTTAACCAAACAGCCAGAAGTAAGTGTCTGGCCCAACATGGTGGTAACAGTCCTTTTACTGCAGGACACAGGGAACTGAACTGTGGCAGGGCCTCGACCAGTATATAGCTGAGGAGACAATGTGCCTGCCCTCTTTGGGCGTGCTCCACTCTGAGACAGGGTCTGGTCTCTGAGGTACCCCACTTCTAAGAAGATACTCACTCCAGACATCCACATATTAGCTAACTGAGCCAGGCCCAGGAACATGTCTGGAATGCATCAGTAAGCAAACAGGGCTTCTTGGAGCTCATCACTGGATACACAGGAGGCTGGACTTAAAGACGTCAGTTTCTATATGTCAGATAGCAATATGGGTAAAGGAGAAACAGACAGTGAGAGTGCACAGTTTGTGACAGTGTGGAGAGGAAGGTCACCAACCTCTGACCTGAGGCAGCTGTGAGAAGGCACACTGGACCTGGAGGAGGGTGCAAGGTAGCAGCATGCCCCCCCATTCAAGAGATGGCAGAGGATCTGTATGGCTGGAGCACAGATAGCAGGTGGGAAGGGGTGGTCAGAGGATGCAGGTGGGAAGGGGTGGTCAGAGGATGCAGGTGGGAAGGGGTGGTCAGAGGATGCAGGTGGGAAGGGGTGGTCAGAGGATGCAGGTGGGAAGGGGTGGTCAGAGGATGCAGGTGGGAAGGGGTGGCCAGTGGAATTAGAGGAAGAGCAGCGTCTGGTCACTGGACTGAAGACCTCTGTGCACATCACTTGTCCTCCTCCCACATCTCATTAGAGGTGTTATGTTGTGGGAACTCCTTCAGCCAATAGCCTTTTAGATACCGACCCCTTTCTTTGCTGGATATGGTTCTCAGCTTCCAGCACCGAGAGAGGACTGTGGCTCTCTACCTTTACTGTCAGTTTTAATCCCCAGTAAATAAACCCTTGTTATACTCCATTCTGGGCTCTTGTGGACCTCTCTAACAGGCCTACAGTGTTAAGCAGAATTATGGCCTGATTATCATTTTCATTTGAAAATTTAGCACATATGAAGATATCACTGTGTGTCAAGTTGACAAGGGGTGAACATAGTATGACTAATTTTGGTTGTCAACTTGACTACATCTGGAATCAACTAAAACCCAAGCTACTAGACACTCCATCAAGGTTTTTGTTGTTGTTGTTGTTTTGTTTTGTTTTGTTTTTAATTGTTTGAAGCAGGAAGATTTATCTATGTCTGAGCCCCACCTTCTGATAGCAGGTCACATAAATGAATACACAAGAGGAAACTTTGCCTTTGCCTGCCTGCCCTCAGCTTACCTGGCCAATTCATCTATACTGTGGCTGCTGGTAATAAATCAGATTTCTTCAGGATTCCACTGTAGACTGAACACCAGCAGCTCCCCATGAATCTGCCCGGACCCCAGCTTCGCAGACTAAACAGTGAGCTGATTTTGGCCTTTCTGTCCCGAGGGAGCCATTGCTGGGCTACCTGGGTGACAGCCTGCAAGCCAGTTGAAAAGGTCAACTGTAAATAAACACAGCGTGGCAACCAATGCTGTGCGAAGTCACAGCTGAACCCACAAGAACAATAAGGAAAGTGCCAAGTCCTCTGAGGTGTGACTTTAAAGAAGATGAGGCAGAAATGGCTCGGTACTGCGCCTTGGACAGGACCAAGTTCTGCTGCACTAACTAAACAGCTTAAACTAAGGGAGAAATCCAGAGATCATGACATGTTAGCCTACATTTCTCTGAGATGAGGTTCATTTGAGTAAAACCTCCCGAACTGCAGCTGTGGCTCTGCAGTCCAGCACTGGCCAGTTCATGCAAGGCCCTAGGTCCTGGCCCATGACTGCGAACATCTTCCTGCAGTGCTGAAGGATTTTGGTAAGGAGGTG